TGGCCGGGGAGGTGGGAGTTGGGGGTGGACACATCATCATAGAAGCAGGAGGAAGGGGGATGGGATAGGGAGTTTCTGGGTGGGGGGAAAGGGGATAACATCTGAAATATAAATAAAATATCCAATAAAAATAATAATTTCAAAAAAATAAAAATAAAATTAAAAAAAAAAGAAAGTTCCTTTTGGTGCCTATTAGGAGGTTACTTTTGTGTCTTTTTTGTAACATTTTACTAGAGGGTATTTTGTCTCTCACACACACCTACATATTCCATTATGCTATATTTACAGTTATTTAACACGTTTAATTAAGAGCATTGTTTAAATTTTAGAAAGACTTCTCCCTTCGTGGAATTTGGAAATCAAAGGTAGCATTTAGCAAGTTTTCTTGTCAACTATAATAGTGGAGTTTAGAACTCTTAAGAGAGTAGTTCAGTTTCTCACACAATTCTGTGTTCTAAGAATGTGCAAAAGCTTGTCTTAAGCCAGCCAGGAGACCTCTCCGGGATTTTCTAGATGTTAACTGAACTAAGAAAGTGCATCACCCTTCAAGTCTCACATGGGAAAGATGTTTACCGAGGAAGCAGAGAAAGCAGGAAAATGTTGGTGTTTTCTTCTTCCTTTGGCCTTTCAGACTCTAGCTTTTCAGTCTCACCTCAGTCCAGGCAACTGTAAAAGAGTGGCAGGTCATTTGGAAATTTTTCAGTAAAATAGAACCTTAGCAACTATAACATCAACCAGCTTATAAAATATAACCCGTCACATCAATTGCTGCATATTCATTTGTTTGCTTACATGGTACTGCTTTCGCTTCATAGGAGTAAATGCTCCATGGCGGTAGGTATCGTCCCTTTCCATTCATTGCATGTCCCTGAAGAATGCGTTCTAGCTCATGGAAAGTAGCCATCCTCCATCTGGAGCTCATCTCTCCTTGCCAGTTTCACTGTGTTCTCTGTTTGGGGGAGACAGGAAGACGGAAGAGTTTCATTTTAATCATTGTGCCATTACATCATTGAAACGAGGAGGGTAAAAGTCACTCAATTTCTCATGGAAGTTATTTAATGAACTATAGCATCATAAAGTTAATATGCTTAGTGTTTAGATTACATAAAAGCATTACTAAAAGACTCAGCAATGTCTTTGTTTGTCATCAATGTAATAACTTAACAGTGACCCTGTTCACACTTTAAATATTGTATGTTTTTTCCCGAAAACATCAGATTATCAAGAAAACAATCTATTAAAATTGGTACAGAGCTAAACAGAATTCTAAGTAATTTGTTTTATCAATCTTTAACTTACGTTAGTCAGATAGGATTCAGGGAGTTATTTCAATTTTCTCGTATTGTTTAGACTTTCTTTGTTTCTGAGTACAGTGTCATTGGGTGGAGAGAAGAAGGTATAGTCTTTTGTGTTGGGGGAAATGTTCCATAACTATCTGTTAGGTCTACTCTGTTTACAGCATCAGGTAGCTCCATAATTTCTTTGTTTAGTTTTAGCCTGGATAACCTGTCTTTTGATGAGAGTGAGGTATTGAAGACTCCCACCATCAGTGTGTGTGGATCAACATGTGATCTACACTTTAGTAGTATTTCTTTCATGAACTTGGATGCACTTGTGTTTGGAGCATAGATGTTAAGAATTACAAAGTTCTCTTGGTGAAATTTTCATTTGAGTATGCAGTGTCTTTTCTTATCTCTTCTGAGATCTGTGTCTTTTGATTATGTCTTTTGATTGAGGAACTGAGACCACTGGTGTTCTTTCAACTTTGCTTGTCTGGGATTATTTATTCCCTGACTTGTCTTGGTTCTAGCTAACCTCTTATATTGGAATTTTTCTTCTAACATCTTCTGTGGTACTACATTTGTAGATAGATGCTGCTTAAATTTGGTTTTATCATGGAGTATCTTATTTTCTCTGTCAATTGTGATTGAAAGTTTTGCTTGACATAGTAGTCTGGGCTGGCATCTGTGTTTCCTTAGAGTCTGTAGAACATCTGTCCAGGAGTTCTGGCTTTTAAAGTCATCACTAAGATGTCAGATGTTATCCTAATAGACCTGGTATATGTATATATGTATATATATGCATTACTTGGTCTTTTTTCCTTACAACTTTTAATATTCTTTATTCATTCTGTATGTTTAGTGCTTTGATTACTATGCACTGAGGAAAATTTCATTTCTGGCACAGTCCATTTGGTGTTCTGTATGCTTCTTGTACCTTGATAGGTATCTTCTTTAGGGTAGGGAAATTTTCTTTCATGGTTTTGTTCAAAATATTTCTTGTGCCTTTTTGTGAACACATATTGTCTGGGCTGTTATTAATTGTTATTATGTTGGTGTCTATATCTGGGATTGAGGAAGATTCTAAGTCTAGGCGTTGATATCTGGTGTTACCTTTGTTGGGTGGGCATTTTGGTTCTTGGTTTCTGTTTCCTCTTGGGTTATTAGGGTGTGTGGTGGCTGTGTGTTTTTGTCCTGATAGGTGTGGTCACTCTGTTCCAGTTAAAATGTTTCTGAGTATTGGGATCCAAGATTTAGAATGAGGCTGGGACTAGGGATGGGGCTGAAGGAAGTATTCTACCTGGATCTGCTTAATTAGTTCCCTGGAAATAGGAACAGCAAATGAGGGAGGCCACAGCAGAAGGTCTGCTATAGAGCTAGGGTTTGGACTTCAAGGAATAGAAGAAGTTAGGAAGATCTGCAATTAGCCCTACTTAATTCACATTCTTCTCTGGTCAGAGTGGCCCAGGAATTTACTGGGACTCTGCTTCCTTAGAAGTGAGGGCTGGGCTTAAACAATGAGGGGGCGGAGCTACTTTGGAAGGGGAGGACCTGTGAGATCCACAAGAGATGGATGTGGTGGGGAGGGAGACTTTGGCAGGGGCTCTGTTGCAGAGCTGGTTATGAGACTGGGTTAGGGGTTGGATTTGGAGGAGTAGCAGGAGAGGTGAAGCCCAGCAATCAGGCTACCTGCTTCCCTGGCTGGAATCCTTATTGCCTGTTTTTGAACCCTATGAAAATAGACCCTTACACTAACTACACATCTCTGTCCCCATTGCTATATAAAATTTAGTGACACTTTCAGTTTCTGTGTATTATGAATAGTGCTGGTATAAGTATTCTCAAACATGACTTCTAGATAAGCTATGCATACCTTGGGCCCTAAGAGAAATGCATAGACATTTTTCCAATATGATCTTGACAGAGTGTCCTCCCACTGAGGCATGGGACTTCCAGTTACTTCGCAGCACCACGGTTTCAACTGTTTTACATTTTAGCCACTGTCCTGCATGTGTTCTGAATGTAATATGGCTTCATTCTGTATGTCTCAGGAATAATGTTGGTTTGAGTAAAATACTTCCGTGGATATTAAAGTCACACAGGTAGTATGGAGATAAAATCGTAAGTATATTGATGATAATTAACTGACTAAAGCTGATACAGCTTTCATTAATGAAATTGTATTAAGAGAACACATTCCCCTGTAAGGTTGTTGTTCTGGTACATTTAATTCAGGGGAAACTGAAGGCAAATTGTGAATTTTGCTGGATGACATGAAGCTTTCCCAACTCGAGTATTCAAAGGCCACTATTAAGCTAGTTTCCCAGTGCTGAGCAGGGTGTAACAGAGGAATTAGGTAGAAGCCAGGGTTCTGGAAACCCTATATATATGATGAGGGCATGAAAATATTTGTGATCTTTAGGAAGTGACATGCTTTTAGGTGTGATAATCATAAATAATGAGAACAATTGCTAGCCTTCCAAGAGGGAATGAAATACTTCTTATGATGGTATAATTGCTATCAGAATTATTAAGGTAAACTAATTTTAAGACCTAATAATATTAGTTGTGAGTTTAAAACATTTGAATGTTTGAACTGAACTAATCATTTGCAGTAATAATTACAATCCCAATATCTACATGAATGCACAAACTATTTTGTGGGTAAGATGTTTCACATTCAACATGGACTCCTCTTGAAGACATAGAAATGGGGCAAACATTTATTGTTACTGGGCATGTGTGAAGAAATGGTGCCAATGCTCTCATTTTAATGTAATGTAACAGATTAAGCTAAACATCACTAGTAGTTGGAGTTGAGGAGATAGGTGAATGGATAATGTCCTGGCCATGCAAGTATGAGAACCACAGTACAGACCTCAAAACCCTCTTAGACTCCAAATGGAGGATGGTGAGTCACCTGTCATTCCAAAACATGAAAGGCAGGAACTAGGGACCTCTGGGGCAAGCTGGAACATCAGACCAGCAGAGTCTATGTGCACTGTGCTCAGCAAGACAGCCTGTGTCAGTAAATGAGGTAGAGAGTAATCAAGAAAATTATTGATGTCAATCTATCTTACTATTGCACATGGGTACATATGTACCAGCACATGCCTGTGCATGCACGCATGGGAGCACACACAAGACACATGAGAAAGAAAGAAGGTATTAGTATATTAGTTAAAATATAATCATTTTATGATATTTTACTGAGTTGCAATTACTTATTACAACTAAATTTTATCAGAGTATTCCTTTTAGAAGTAAATGTGATGATCAAGTGCAGTTTTGAGATGGTGTTTTACTACTCATTCCAGTCTGGCCATGATCTCGGGATATTTCTGACTTAGCTTCTGATGTTCTGAGTGTGACTACTATTGGTGGATCAAGTGTGTTGCTTTCATCTGCCCACCTCATGTTGTTTGCTATCACTAAAATAATAGAAATCCTCCATCACATTATGTTTTGATATATCCTAATGAGCCATTCAAAATCATTAGAAAGAATCATTTTTCTAATTTGTTTAACCATTTATCTAATTGGCTTAATACCTCTTTAACTAAATTATCTTAAAACGTTAGAGGGAAGTTTTGTAACTTCTAAATAGACTGGGTTCTAATTTCAGACCAAAAGTAATTCTAGTGCTAAAAATAAAAGGTCATGATGCAACAAGCTTCTGTTGAGTCAGTATTCATAGTGTGTGGTGTTCTTCATCTGTAGGTTGAAGAAAAAGTCCCAGTCGGTGGATATTACTGCTCCAGGGTTCAACCCTTTGGGTGGAGCAGGGAAGCAAGCAACACAAGCCAGCAAGCCCCCGGCACCCAAGACTCCCATCATTGAAGAAGAACAGAACAATTCAGCAAACACCCACAAGCATCCTTCCAGGAAAAGCGAACTGAAGAGGTTCTATACCATTGGTGAGTGCAAGGACTTTTTGCAAGTGAAATTGTGCCATGCGGACAGCTTTGTGAATAGAGGAGTTGCTTAGTTAGGTTAAATGATTCCTTGTTGGATAATTGTGTGTCTTTTTGATGGTTTATGTCAACATTTTCTTATACGGTCTAAACATGGAGAGGGAAGATGGAAAACTAAAATCTTTAACAAAGTTGGGTAAGAAAATGGGCTCAGTGGCCATCTATAATTGAACAGTATATTTTTTTCAGAATTTAACCTTATGCATTACTATTTTCATTTTAGCCATCCTCAGCCCACACTGTTCTTATATTTTGCTTTTGTTCTTTTCATTTTCCCTCTGGGCTTCTAAGTCTCTGACCCTGTTCTGTCAGGTTGTAAAAACAGTGGCTGATGTCAGCTTAGCGTGGCGCCATTATGAAGGGAGAAAGATATTGTATTCTGAGGAAGAACAAGTCACATTGGAGAGCTGTTTGGACTTCTTGCATTGCAAACTCTAGGGGTATAGACTCCAGAAGTACTCATATCAGAAAGCAGTAGGCTGTGAACAGGGTCTTGTAATTATTGGGCTCCTGTGTCCCCAGATAGAAGAGTGCTCAGGAATTTTGAACTTTGCTGGAGACTGTTACATAACGGAATTAAATACACTGAGCTGAAAAATTCTGTATACTTGCCTTTCCAGTAGGTCTTCGAATAAGTGATTTTTTTTTCACCAGTAACAGTTTGCAGCAGTTCAGGTAAATTTAAGATAAAAGGCTTTGTATGTGAGTACATGGCAGGCGGAACATTGTGAATATGACGTAGGAAGATGGCTACTTGGTCGTGCATGCTTCTTAATTGAGAGGAATTTGTTTATGTTTGACCAAATAGTGGGAGCTGGAGCTTAGTAAATCAAAATGCTATCAGGGAAGCTGAATATTTCTGTAACCTGTAACCCCACAACCTCAATATGGGGTGTTTGTCTGAAATGACAATATTTTTCTCAAGTATTTCAGACTTATTATATATTTATATATTCATACATACATTAAATATTTTATATTATACATAATAACTAAGAAAATAGGTTTCTAGTTCTAAAATCCAGGGCATGTTCTGGTTTCTTATGAGTCATTGCTTCCTCCAAACCTGATGAAATGCCTCATGTAGGCTGCGTGCTCTTTTGAAATTTGCCAGTTGAAGCTGCTTTCTGTTGTTTCCACTTCAAGTCCTCGTCCTTGGTCTTCTCAGAGCTTTCCTTGTTCTGATTGACGTTTTCAAGACTTTAAAAAATAGCAAACAGGTAAACAACGTAGTGTTCTAAGGGCTATCTATCATCAAAGACTTTTGATGGATGTAAGACAGTATAGCAGACAGGTGCATATTTCCACTTTCAAAACAATGTTAGCATAGTTAAAAAAAAAATGAATCAACCAGAAAATCCCACAAGGCATATGTCACAGCTTGTTTGCCGGGGTCCTTTGCTCCTGATGTTTGTCACATATTCAAACTTCTATACTTTTCTGATTTATGAACTGATTAGGAAGAGTAAGTGTTTTGCCTTCAGGAAATAGAACCTGTCTTATAAACTCCATATTCCATCCCAATAAGACAAAAAGGTTCAAATACTTATGAGCTTGACCATAGTGGATGAAAACCCCAAGACTATAGAAAAACAGCAGTCTAAACGTTAAATTCAAGGCAGAAAAGTAAGCTGTGGGTTATTTGTTTCTTACTTATTTATTTATTGTGTGTGTGCATGCTTGTGCACACATTTATAGGATGTGCTTACCTGTATGTGCACAAGCTTCTGTATGTGTGTATTGGGTGCATTTGCCTGTGTGTACATGCTTGTACATATGTGTATTGGATGTATTTAGTTATGTGTGTATATGCTTATGCATGTGTGTATTGGCTGTACTTACCTGTATGTGTACATGCTTGCCCATGTATATGTTGAGTACCTGTGTGTGTACATGAAAATTCAGAGGTTGACTTCAAGTATTTTCTTTATTATTCTCCATCTCACTTTATGAAAAAAGATATCACCAAGACTGTTTTGTCTACCCTACTAAGCACCAGTATTATAAGCATATCCTACCACATCTGATTTTTGTGTAGGATCTGGGTATCTAAGCTCTCATGCTTGCACTGAAAGCACCTCACCCCCTGAGCCATCTTCCTAGCCTCATGGAAAATTTTTAATTAATGAATTTGCAACGGTTTGATTTATTATCGGTATCAAAAACATGTTTAATTACTGTGTTAAAAGAGTTGTTTGGATTCTCAGCTCTAATTTGTCTATACAATCTCTCTTCTAATTTGGCTCTCAAAACATTATTTTTAAGGCTAAAATATATCAACTATGTAACTGAAAGTTCATTCCATAAAACCAATCTATTTCAGTATCCCTTCATTTAAAAAATACTGTTAGTAGAAGACAACAGCATTTTTAAAACTCCATGTTGTTACAATTCTCTTCAGGAATAGAGCAGAAAGAATGAATATATACTTAAAGGGGATTTATTAGAATGATTTACAGGCTGTGGTCCAGCTAGTCCAACAATGGCTATCTACTGATAGAAAGTCTAAGATTCCAGTAGTTGTTCAGTCAGCGCATGTGAGTGTCTCAGCTGGTCTTCATATACCCCAAAATCCCAAAGAAGTGGGCTCTCATGCCAGGCAGGGAATGGACTCTCCAGTGTGAGCCACTGGCATTGGAAGGTGTAGCCCAGATTTAAGATGGAACTTCCTCCCTCAAAGGATTTAGTGTGGGTCTTCACATTTCTATAGATTCAATCAAGGGAAATCCCTCACAGGTGTACCCAGTCACTTGGCTTTTAGCTAATTATAGACAGAGTGGGGTTGACAACCATGACTAGCCATCACACAATCGACTAGTAATTTCATATTCTAGAATAATCCCCTATGTCCTATCTCAAGTCATCCTCAGAACAATCCTGCTATATTCTGTTTTTACAGATGAGGAATCATGTCTAAAAGATGCAAAAAAGTAGCCATGAGACATAGATGACAGGCTCTGCAGAAAAAAATTCATTTAGTATTTTCTCACTGAAGAGGAAAATCACAGAACAGGAGGCCAGCCATTCCTCACAGGGGTTAACAGAGATATTCTATGGGTGACATACTGAAGTGATATTTCTATGGGTGACATAGTGTCATAAATAACGTTATGGAAAGAAACTGTGAAATTCAACCTATAGGCCAGCCAGCCAATATTTTCTTTATTTGAAGGGTACCTTTCACTGTTTCCATTCAGGGTTTGTACAACTGAAAATCCCAGGGATCCCTCTGGTGGCACAGTGCAGTACTACAACTAAGTTGATCTATGGTCCTCTACAGTTCTTTACAGTCACTCTATTTGAATCAAGCTAGAAGAATTTTTTATTTTACCAAGAGATAGAACAATTTGAAAGGCCTCTTTAGGTTAATGAGAGATGTAAGTAGCTTTTTTAGAAATTGATTTTTTTACCTCAGTTATCTTTCACAAATTTCTGTATAGCATCTATTTCCTACTGAGAGAACCTTAAGAAATCGATGATGTCCTCTGCACACATGACTGCCTTCTGTCCTTCATTAATCTTAATAGAAGGGTGTTCATTAAATGTAGCATCATATCAAAAATTAAGAGCACGTGAACTCACCTTTATGGAATGATCAGTCTTTGAATAGGTATAATGAAATTTCACTTACTTAGAACAAGTAGGGGGAAAGCTACCCTGTTTATATGAAGCCTGAAACTTCATTTGAACCTTTTTAAATTAAAAAGAAGTCACTTAGATGAGGTAAGAGAGTTTTCTGTTGGCCTTGGCCACCAATGGTAATCCTCAACTAGTGATTTGGCTCTGACTTTTTCAACTGAGGCATGGACAGTTTGACAGAATGAGTGTCAGCAGTCTTTATGACACACTTGAGATTTTGTTCAGGGTGTCATGAGGCTGAAGTGAGCACATTAGCTAGGCTGGGTGCTTGTATGGCTTTGATTAGGGATGGAGATATCTTTAAGCTGTTGGGACCATGATACCTTTAAGCTCCTTCCGGTAGGTTTGATTCAAATACATGCTACTCTGCTCCAATGTTCCCTGCTGGTTTCCAGTCAGAGTCCACTCTTAGCTCTGAGATGCCACTTGCCTACTTTACCATGTAAATTCCTCTGTCTCTGAGACTGGTTATTCTGTGTACATTTCCCAGCCTTTCCAATCTTCCTCTTGCATAGGCAACTAAGAACATTCCCTGCTCTTAAAGGACACCTGAAAGAAGTCTATCCATCCCCCACTCCCACCCCACTGCCCCATCTGCAGTTTTCCTGTCCACATGACTTCCTTATAGAAGGGACTAAGCCCATCCCATTCCCAGTAACAAGCACCAAGGAGGTAGGATGCAGAGGGAAAGGCATCTGGAGACTTGCCTTAGAGTCCTTCTGACAAATTTTACACACCTCTATTGAACTCACACTCAAATATCAGCACAGCTCTAACAAAGATATCTGAAAATACTACCTATATTATCATTTTTATGTTCTTATTCTATCCTATTTTGTTTTTTCAAATAAAATCTCAATTCACAAAATTGATTTTGTAGTCTGTTATTGACTGATTTGAGTCCCAAAGTTTGGACAGTATCAGTGGACTGGTGAGAGAATCTCCAATGTCTAAAATTACTCTTTTTTAAAATTATAATTGTTAATTAGAACTAGAATAAAAAAGAAAAGTATCACCTAAGTAGACTCGCTTTAATGGGTAAACAGATGAAAAAAATAGACTGTTTTCCTGCTTTAACTTTTGTTTGTGTTCAACAATATTCCAAAGTTTAACAGTGTATATTCAACAAATAAATTCTTTGAAGCCATAGCCTCTACTTTAAGAATGTGAAACAAACTGTAAACTCAGTGGTAATTCTACATTGATTCTACTACTCTTAGTTCAGAGAATCATATGTACAGACTTCAGAGGTTTTGTTTTGTTTCAGATTTGGAATAAAGGTAGTGAAGAAAGCTGCACATAAT